GATCCTATACACCACTGTCCAAATACAGTACCTGTCACACGAGGGTATCACAGATCCACTACACCACTGTCGGAGTACAGTACCTGTCACACGAGGGTATCACAGATCCACTACACCACTGTCGAGTACAGTACCTGTCACACGAGGGTATCACAGATCCACTACACCACTGTCGAGTACAGTACCTGTCACACGAGGGTATCACAGATCCACTACACCACTGTCGAGTACAGTACCTGTCACACGAGGGTATCACAGATCCACTACACCACTGTCCAAATACAGTACCTGTCACACGAGGGTATCACAGATCCACTACACCACTGTCCGAGTACAGTACCTGTCACACGAGGGTATCACAGATCCACTACACCACTGTCTGAGTACACTACCTGTCACACGAGGGTATCACAGATCCACTACACCACTGTCTGAGTACAGTACCTGTCACATGAGGGTATCACAGATCAACTTCTACGACCATCCACTGTGTTAGTCCAACAGCAAGGGCACTTACACAGACTCACAACAATAATAACAAGAATTAATGGTCAGTTAATCAGCACTATCCAAGAATCACCTGTTCACATGAATACAAATTTCAATGTATATATATATCCTTATGTATTATAAATATAATTGATAGAAATTCTCAATACAGAAAAGGGGTTTTCTGTTGATCCACTGAGCGCAACAAAAGTGCAATAATGACAGAAAGTAAGTCAATTAATCAGTGTTTACTAATTACCTGTCGACATTACAAGGGTACAACCCAGATTCTCAAAACAGACAACTGTTCGTCCACTAAACACAGCAAGCACATTTACAGACACTCAATAATAACAGAAAGTTAGTCAATCAATCAGTGATCACTATCCAGGATTACCTCTCCACACGGCAAGGGTACAACTCCGATCCACCACACTGGAGGAGGGCATTACTCTACTGAACACAGCACGGGCACTTCCACAGATCCACAATCATAACACAGGGTTGGTCCACTGACCCTGTGGTCACAGTGACCGAGAGTGGACTCTACCTGTCCACCCGACCAGCACACGTACAGAACCCCAGTCTCCAGCTGGGCTGATCTCAATCTTTATGACCCGTTATGTCAACAACAAAGATGCTATCGGGGTGTGAGAGGTGTAATGAGAGGGAGGGAGATCCCTGGAGAGGGTGACATGGCCACATTAGCACCTGGACCACGGCCCTGTCACAGGCTCGCCTCCATAATGAGCACTTTGTGAACTTTATCACATCACCAGATAACCCAGCATCAGTATCCAATCATAAGAGGCATGCAGTACTTACAAATCAAGACTGGCACTGGGGAGTATATCGAAATGACCAGCGTCGTACCTGGCCTGAACACACATCCACTTCCTCAGCATAATGAGCTGGGAGCAGGTAGATGACTGTTGCCTGGTTAGTCTGTTCAGCCTGTCACCCCTGGTCCGCCAGCCAGCCACAATACCCCTGCCCCCAGGCCACCTTAACCACAGGGACAGCTTAACCACCAGCTAATTGTAAGAAGGTAATACCTCGTTAAGCATCCCTCCATCTACCAGCCAGATTTAGTCCTGCTCGTCTTGCCAGCCCCAGAATCCGTCGGTCACAGCCGATTGATCAATCAACCTACTGCACATGCCTGCAACACTGATTGAGTGATTGGCTGGCCAGAGTTGTCTGCCCCTACTGCCTCAGGAGCTCACCTCACCTGTGATCAATTTTCTCTAACTGGGTCAGTCGCAGATAATCCTGGTCATTGATTTAGTCTTACTTTGGTTTCATTTGACTTTCCCCTGAAATGACGCTTGCTGTTTTCTCTGTAATGCATACACATGCCAAATGGCTTGATGCCTTGATAGGTCAGTGGCCTCCTTATGCTAATGGTATTGTTTTTCCTATGTGCACATTTCGCATGCATTAATTATGTCACCAGATGTAAATGATTTTCCCTCTGTTGACATTTTGTAACAAATATATTTTTGTCAGAAATCATTTGTAAATTCCACATACTTATGAAATGGGAATAATATAGTAAAATATTATATTAATATAGTTAAAAATCAAGCTTTAGAACATTTGACCACAAAACAGAATAAAGGCACAAATAAGATACAAACCGATTGTCCTCAATGTCTGATCGATGCACGATGGCAATCACCTAGTTCATAACTAACTATAATCACCAGTTATTCCTGAACCAATTATATTAGCTCTCATGTAGATTCCAGGGAAGAATAGGTCCCTTGTGTCTCATGCTTTCACAGCCTTAGAAATTTGGTGTTGGGTTGTTTTTTTAAGACTAGTCCATCCCTGAATTTGTCCCTCCCTCCATTAATCCATGCCATTATTCCTTCTGTCTCACTCACTCCACCCTAACTCCATTTCTCTCATTCCATCCATCACAACATCTCTCCTTCCATCCCTCACTCACTCCATCCCTAACCTCACTCCATCCCTCACTCACTCCATCCCTACCCTCCATCTCTCACTCCCTCACTCTCCATTCCTCCCTCCATCTCTCACTACCTCACTCACTCCATCCCTTCCTTCCCTCACTCCCTCCATTCCTACCCTTCCTCCATCTCTCACTCCCTCACACTCCATTCCTACCCTTTCCTCCCTCCATCTCTCACTCCCTCACTCACTCCCTCACTCACTCCATCCCTACCCTCAATCTCTCACTCCCTCACTCACTCCATCGCTAACCTTCCTCCCTCTATCTCTCACTCCCTCACTCTCCATCCCCACCCTCCCTTCATCTCTCACTCATTCCATTCCTACCCTTCCTCCCTCCATCTCTCACTCCCTCACTCATTCCATCCCTACGCTTCCTCTATCTCTCACTCGATCCTACCCTCCATCTCTCACTCCCTCACTCACTCCATCGCTACCCTTCCTCCCTCTATCTCTCACTCCCTCACTCTCCATCCCCACCCTCCCTTCATCTCTCACTCATTCCATTCCTACCCTTCCTCCCTCCATCTCTCACTCATTCCATCCCTACGCTCCCTCTATCTCTCACTCCCTCACACACTCCATCCCTACCCTCCCTCTATCTCTCACTCCCTCACTCACTCCACCCCTACCCTCACATCCCTTCAATGTTAAGCTTGATGGGAAAACATTTTCTGGCTACAATGAAATCAAATGTTTGAGGAAACACATGTTGAAATGGAGTTATTCTCCTCAAAAAGCGGATACCTCATTACCATGGAAACATACCACCATCATACATCTCGTTGTGACGTAAATTGCACGGAAAAGGGATCAACCCCGATATATGTTAATAACATTTGTCGACAAAAACTCCCAAATCAAGTTGCCAAAATATAAGAAAACTAATAACTCGTCTGTTAATACAAATGCAATAAATTGAAAACAAGAACACCTTTTTCTAGAACACGAAAACTGCTGTCAAGCATCATCGATGCTGGCACTCCTTCATTATCTCTTGTTTGTTGGGACAAAAAATGGTAAGCCTCCATTGATCACCAATACTTATGTTACCAACTACTTTGCCGATGAACATAGACTTCGTTGTCCATCTGTCATTTAATGTATGCGTCTTCACGTCCACTGACCTCGTCACTGTGTTTACATACCGCCTGTACTGTCTAAGAATCAATATACATGGAGGACTTATAATTTGCTTAGGTGTTGGCATAAATATACACGCTCGTAGACATAGGACCACATGTTCACCATGTGATTAGGGCATGTGTAGACTGACCACACCCATTTATAGATAGGGCTGATTTGCTAAACAATGTAGCGCTGATAATGGATACACACTACAGCGATAGAAACTAACAGTTTTTGTCCACTAGGCCTTATAATGATAACATATAGCAAAACCCTTGATATGGGCAAATTTCTGCTAGTCCTTAGGATACCTTTACTACTGGGTAGTTTGGTAAGGACTACAGCACTGGTGCCAATTTCTAATGCTGCTTTGTGGGGTTGATATGTACCAAGGATATGTGACACTCTACACTGGATATTGACTCACATGACATGGTGACGTGAAATGGGGTTTAATGTGCATTCAAGATCATTACACTAAATATAGACATGTGCATGTGTGTGCATGTGTGTGCGTGCATGTACTAGTCTGTACTTATGCCGGAGTTATACTGAGATACCATGTGCAGTCTTACATGGATACCCCACACAGTATACTAAAACCGAGATGACCTGCCCTAGTTTTACCCCTTTACATATGAGCGCAAGGCAGGGTAACATTAAGATCACTATGTGGAGGAAGGTGTAGGACATAGCAGGTATATTCACTGAGTACAGAGACTAGGGAGAGTTATCACATTCTTAGTGCTAAGATCACTATGTGGAGGAAGGTGTAGGATATAGCAGCCATATTCACGGAGTACAGAGACTAGGGAGAGCTATCACATCCTTAGTGCTAAGATCACTATGTGGAGGAAGGTGTAGGATATAGCAGCCATATTCAAGGAGTACAGAGACTAGGGAGAGTTATCACATTCTTAGTGCTAAGATCACTATGTGGAGGAAGGTGTAGGATATAGCAGCCATATTCAAGGAGTACAGAGACTAGGGAGAGTTATAACATTCTTAGTGCTAAGATCACTATGTGGAGGAAGGTGTAGGATATAGCAGCCATATTCAAGGAGTACAGAGACTAGGGAGAGTTATCACAATCTTAGTGCTAAGATCACTATGTGGAGGAAGGTGTAGGATATAGCAGCCATATTCACTGAGTACAGAGACTAGGGAGAGTTATCACAATCTTAGTGCTAAGATCACTATGTGGAGGAAGGTGTAGGATATAGCAGCCATATTCATGGAGTACAGAGACATTCACGGAGTACAGAGACTAGGGAGAGTTATCACATTCTTAGTGCTAAGATCACTTTGTGGAGGAAGGTGTAGGATATAGCAGCCATATTCATGGAGTACAGAGACATTCACGGAGTACAGAGACTAGGGAGAGTTATCACAATCTTAGTGCCAGGATCACTTTATGAAGGTTCAGGACAGAGCAGTAGCAGTGACTCACTGCTCACTCCCTGCAGCCTGGGCATACCATGTTCATTAATTACACTAATTGCTTATTAAAACCTGCTACATGTGAAACTGATTACCACATTAGATGAGAGTGAATCATAAAACGATGATATAAATGTGTTATATCATATTGACAAGCGTGCAGCAGCTGTTAAAGTTAATTAAAACTGCCGTCGATACAAACGTTAAAAATTTAACATGTAATAAATCTGGTTATTGCATGACCATCTGATGTCCTATTTTGTTATTACTCCTCACCAGGCCTACCAATGAAAACTCAGAGACTGCAACGAAAAACTGTCATATGTCTACAATACAGGAATGTAACTAAAAACTAAGAAACAGCATCACAGAATCTGATAGCACACTGCTGAAAATATGGCAACGGCAGCTCTCAAACACTCAAACGGCAGCTCTCAAACACTCAAACGGCAACCTTCCACACTATGCATGGGCAGAACAAGAGGGAAGTTGACTGTCATGTTAGGAGGATCAACAAACAGTAAGTAAATTTACATCTTACAGTACTAATATAATAATACACATTTAGAATATTCTATACTAGCGCTGTAATAACCATGTGACAGGACAGAAGCCGAACAACAGCTCCATGGTGGTGTTCACAACAGTGAGAATAGTGTTACACTTTTAGCAATATTACTGTGATACAAAAGCAGGGCCACAGAAAAGTGTTATATATACTGTATCCAGGTGGGGAATCGAACCCAGACCTTCAGTATGTTGTGCGAACACTTCAACCACCAAGCTACCCTACAGACTGATTTTCCTTACAAGTTGCCAGCTGTACATCTGATACCTTATGACAACCAATTCCTCATTTTCCAAAGGGGTTCATGAAAAAAACATTTACAGTTAGGAAAATATGCCAAATTTCCAGAAACACATAAAAACTGTAGTAAACAAGTTATTGTTTCTGCTCACACAAAGCACCTTTTTTCTCGTTTCACTATTTGTACTGAACGGGTATACATTTCAGCGTACGTCATAAGACAAGAACTCGAGTATGTAAGAACACTAAAGCCTCGATATACCGGTGTCGTCGGGTCCAAGATCCCATCCCCGCATTCTCGGAAAGGGTAATACAGATATTTACTGCTGGTGATCCAATACATAACACGTATGTTTGCAGTAAACCAAATGTAAGCATCTAACTGAAACTGTATTTTGTTTGTCAGTGTTTGTTATACCTCTATTATGAATCTTGCAATTCCATTGGTTAATCTGTACCTTGTGACAAAACAATACATTTCAATGTAGACCAAGAAGTCATGTGACTGACACTGACCTCGAAAATTGACTCATCACATGATCAGTATTGACCTGTCATGTGATGAATATTGACGCATTTGCTAGAAAACAAGATGGCATCTGGTACGAACATTTTACGGTTGGCAGCTAAGGTACTGTAACGAAACAAAGGACGGCTTAAAGATTTCATAAACATTAAAGTGAATTTCGGTAAAACAAAACGAACAATTACTCTTGATGAGGTAAATATGCAAAAACAAGGACCCACAGACCCGACCCCTTTCACATAGTGTCCTCCATGCAATTTGTACATGAAATTCAAAAGTTAGTCTGAATGAGCTTTGGATACCCAAATTGTTGACATATATATTTTTCCATATTTCACATAAGCAGTTGAAATATATAAATTCTTGACTTACTACAAACAGAAGAAACTCACACACAAGTAGGATCCTATCTCTAGGTTGTAATGGTAGGAAATGGTTTACTGATTGGCTATATTGTCAGTTATGGATTTCTACAGTGCTAGCCAGGGATGGTGTGTAAACAAGCCCTGGTTACAGTAACACTTAGACGCAGTTCCCAGGTACTATTAATCAGACACGGACAACTTGTAGGAATGGATAAGAATCAAAGGATATGCAAAACGCGTAAGTTAAGATGTATGGAAGTTAAGATGATATCATCTGCTGTAAATAGGCAATACATCTTTATAAACCCCAAAACCATATTCGCCATATTAAGCGCCATGTCTCAATAAGCTGACCAATTTCTAAACCATTCAAGTATTTTTACACCTACTGAGGCCCAAAATTTTAATAACAGTCAATACATTCTTGTGTATGATACAGACTTGTTTACAGAAAACAGCAGTGCGGAAGGGTGAGTAAGTGAGTTGGGTTTTAACACCGCTTTTAACAGTATTCCAGTTATATCACGGCTGATCAGCTTAATGTGGGAGGAAAGCCCGAAGTAATGCAGGTCTACCACTTCCTTGACGAAGTGGTGACGAAGTGGTGACGAAGTGGTGATGTTTACCACTTCGGTGAAACCCATGAGCACGGGTATGGTGCTGACAAACCTAGAAACATAATCAGGGCAGACCAGGATTCGAACCCACAATCATAGGTTTCTGGCGTGCCCAAGGGACGCAACTCTGCACAGCGAATCATGACGGCTTAGACAACTGGGCCACCCGTGCTCCCCAGTGCAGAAGGGATACATGATTACCTACTGACCATCATCAGATATATCACCAACGCTTGAACTAAGTTTGTTCACAACCACTTGATCACTGACAATAATTTGAACATGTATATGGTTTTAATAACATCCCCTTTGTCAATTTTCTAAGCCCTGTGCCCTTATTACAGAGATAATATAGTATATGTAAATTGCTAACAATAATGTTCACAAACAACACACCTGATCTATGGATGTCCATCATGCAATTCTAAACAGAATATGAGTGAGTGAGTGAGTGAGTGAGTGAGTGAGTGAGTGAGTGTGAGTGAGTGAGTGAGTGAGTGAGTGAGTGAGTGAGTGAGTGAGTGAGTTGGGTTTTAGGCTGCTTTTAACATTATTCCAGTCATATCCGTTAGGGGACTCCAAGAACAGGCTTCACAAATGTACCCACCAGTAAGAACCCAGAACTTGCTTGCTCCAACTGGCTACCCAAACCAAGTGGAGAAAGTGGAGAAAGTTTTCACTGATGAGTGGGCAGCAATCGAACAGACAGACAGACAGGCTTGCAGCCACAATACACTCTGATGAAGCAGCTCTGACACAGTGCCAACAACTTCTCAACACACAGGTGTGACTAACCACCTTCACATATCACATATCATTCATGGCACTCAGCTGCATGATCAAAGGAGTGACAACCTAACACTCACACTTAAAGACCTCCCATAAAATAATACCATGACATAATGACTAACATAAAACAAAAGCACATTTGATGTGATTCATACATTGAAATCTAACAATTTTAGATTAAATATTTGACATGTGAGGTCATTGAATGATTTTTGGGGTGCTTCATTTGATTTCGTCACTGAAGGAGACATTGTCTCAGTTACAGTGAAGGCTTTGACTGGATCTAACACTAAACATTTATCCTGAAACAAGCACACATGGAATTGTATACTTTCAGTCACATGTATATCATTTGAGTGAGCCTAGCCACCAACCTGACAACTTCCCATTTCTCAAGACATCATTACAACACTGCACCATAAATAATACTACTGTGAATAAGAGCCAGGGACAAGTCCACTTTATTTGCCCACAAACGAAGGTGAGCACACTTTCATAAGAACATAAACTCCTGAAGTAAAATACAATCATGTGTGACTAAGATATTAAAAATGCTCCAAATTACCAGTACTTCAGAAGCATTGCCCATGGCTGTACAGAGTCTAAAGTTTATAGCACTCACATAGCAACATGCATGCTTGTATCAGTCCGGGCTTATGTCGGTTTTATAGTGCTAGCCCACTGAGATACCATGCCACAGTTTAACATGGGTACCCCATAAGGCTGGCATGGGTAACATGGGAACTCCGGTCGGGTGGGTCCTGAGTAGGACCCTAGTATCCACAGGACTACCCGGACCCGTGGTTAGTCATGTGATGTATTGTTTAATGACAAAATTTATCCAAAACTCTATGGTTACACTACAAGTAACTAATGTTCCCATTTCTTTCTGACAATGCACCCATTCCTTCTGACTTTTATATGTTTGAATACAGATATCACTTCTTGCAGTAAACTTCAGTGTATGCATGACCAGATCGTTTTATACGTGTATCTAATTACATTTTGCCAGGGCTAAGGTCAAACTTTTCCAAATCGGACAGTTTGTACCTATCTCTACAGCGGGTACCCAGGTAGGGTCGGGTAATAGGGTGGTGGGTACCCGGGTAGTAAATTTGGACTCGTCCCAGCCCTAGTACCCCATGTCAAACACAGAATACTGAGCCAACCAGTCGTTTTTGCCCCTTATGCCGAGCACCAGGCAGGGTAACAAGTAACATCTTTTAAAGTCTTTTGGTATGAAGTGGCCGGGGATCAAACCACCGACCTTTCCAGGCAGACACTTCACTGGACCACGGAGACAGTGCTGAAATATAAAAATATGTCAACTATGGTCACATACCTTCTTGGTCCGGTAGCTGCTCTGGAAGCGAGAGAAGACACTGGGTTTCCGCTTCTTCCTCTCTTCTTCCTTCCGTTGTTTGGCTCTCTGGTCTTCAAGGTCGAAACTGGCAGATCTGGGGAGAGTATCAATATTTATTTCCTTGTTGTATTTCATAATCTTTTATTTGACCTTAGACAATATTTTCATTTTAATTTCAACTACATAGTTTAGTAGTGATACTCTTTAGGTAAGCTATTTTCTTTCTGATTGTATGGCATCCTTATCACTTTAAGTTATTTGGTGATACTTGGTGTGGGTTTCAGCTTGGTGCCTAAATGTGATCAATACTGACTGGCTTTGTACCACTGTAGGATTCTGTGCCACTGTGCAACTCTTGTAAAAGCTGTACTTCATCACAGACATAGCCTAGCTTCGTACATCATTCTTAGAATAAGCTTGTGCAGAATTGGTGAGAACATTGCCAAATAGATGACATTGCTAGGAGTATGTTGTAAATAAAACTAAATTTAACATGTAGAATGTCGACACGGTTTCCACCGGGTAACCTTTTCGATAACATACTCTTCTAACAAACTAAAAAGATCGCACCAAAAAGTATGACGAAAAAGATGTAAGTGCCGAAAACATTACATTGTTGTGACCTGCAAAATAAACATTTCTGACAACCCAATTACAAGTGTCTATATTGACATCAAGCGATATATAAAGCGTCATTGTTAAGCTTAGCAGAGTTAGGGCCTTAAGACGTGGTTAGGAAGCAAATCAAACTATACACACTATAAAACAATATTAGTTTCTGAAATAAAATATCCACGGTAATTGTGCAATGGTTTATACAATATGCCTTATACAAAGCCATGGAGTAATACACAAACAAAACATTGACTCATGAGACAAAGAATATACTTTGAAAGCCACATATGTCACGAGAATATTGAGATTGGATCTCTGAAACAAAATGGGGAAACAATGATATATTCAAGGACTTTGACGGAAGAGGATTCATAAAGAAAGCATAAATATTGGGGTTTGTTGATCAGTGATCCTGTGCAGTGGATGGGTAGGAAATATGGGTTTAAGGTAAAAAAGTGCTATTGTTTCCAAGACTACATCTATGAAACAAGTTTCATTGGAGTATAACCGACACAGTAACGATGGTGGGAAAGGTCAATTGTTGGGAGCTGGTTGGTTGCTTGAGGTGCAGTCATTCCATACATTGAAAAGAGGGTCTACAATAGTGATGCTGCAAGTGGGATTGAAGTGCAAAAGTTGTGGGGTGAGAGAGAATTTTACCTTTCTTTTTCAGGAGTTCTGTAAGGAATTAATGGGCAATCATGTATCATTGAACCAAAATCAATAGGAGCTGAACTCTCCAGTCACTTGTCATGGCGTATCGGTTTTGTCAATAACACCATGGGTTTCCTATATATTTGATATCATAATACATATATACACTGCCATCCATAGTCATTATAAACAATTAAAAATAATAAACACGCATCTAGGTATCTGTGCTTACAGAACATACACAGTCTTCATGGATGGGCACGATATCGCATAGTGGTGACACTAGAAAGCTTGTACACATGCCAAGTAGCGAGTCATGACACATCAACATGGTTATTCTTCATCCATATATAAACTGAACAAAATAAGATAGGGATCATGAATATTATGGGAATATTTTTTTGCAGCAAAGACTGAGCATACTATGTTATAACAGTATCCCCCAAAATATTCATGATCCCTTACTTATTTTGTTCAGTATACTACTCAAAAGAAGTTACATAACACGAATATTTTTCTTATGACTATAGTCAATCTGTTATGCCATGAAAGATTAGCTATCGTCATATGAAAGACAGGTTAACTGGTTCTTTAACTTCTTTTGAGTAGTATATTTGCCTTAGGATGGGTGGATGTCGATATGATCGTACTTTGTCACTGTGACATTCATGAATGTTGGAGAAACAGGTATCATGAAAATGAGTGGGAAATGTTTTACATCGCTGTGGGGAACAACAGAAATGGGCTTCACATGTCGTACCCATGAGGGGAATCAAACCCAAGACTTTGTTGTGACACTTTAACCACAAGGCTACCCCACTGCCCAAGATGTAATGAGAGAAGGAAAACTAGGGAATAAACACAACAATGACACCATGGAACTCACATAAAGGTGAGACAGAGAGATAGAAGAGTGAACAAGATACACCACAACACATTACATGAGTCAAACTGATAAATTGATGAATGCAAATGACTCGTCTGACAATGATGGATGGGAGTCACTGTGACATATTCAAGTTTTAGGTTTACCAAAATGCGGGCCCCTGAGATGTAGATGATGCTATGCACATGACTTGATGTGAGTCACCACTGACGTATTCAAGTCGTGAGTCACCATGGACACATGGCTTGATGTAAGTCATCAGGACACATGATCATTGATGTGAGTCACCAGACACATGATCATTGATGTGAGTGACCATGATACATGATCATTGATGTGAGTGACCATGATACATGATCATTGATGTGAGTGACCAGACACATGATCATTGATGTGAGTGACCAGACACGTGATCATTGATGTGAGTGACCAGACACATGATCATTGATGTGAGTGACCAGACACATGATCATTGACGTGAGTGACCAGACACATGATCATTGATGTGAGTGACCAGACACATGATCATTGATGTGAGTCACCAGACACATGATCATTGATGTGAGTGACCAGACACATGATCATTGATGTGAGTCACTAGACACATGATCATTGATGTGAGTCACCAGACACATGATCATTGATGTGAGTGACCATGATACATGATCATTGATGTGAGTGACCATGATACATGATCATTGATGTGAGTGACCAGACACATGATCATTGATGTGAGTCACCAGACACATGATCATTGATGTGAGTGACCAGACACATGATCATTGATGTGAGTCACCAGACACATGATCATTGATGTGAGTGACCAGACACATGATCATTGATGTGAGTCACTAGACACATTATCATTGATGTGAGTCACCAGACACATGATCATTGATGTGAGTGACCATGATACATGATCATTGATGTGAGTGACCAGACACATGATCATTGATGTGAGTGACCAGACACATGATCATTGATGTGAGTCACCAGACACATGATCATTTATGTGAGTGACCAGACACATGATCATTGATGTGAGTGACCAGACACATGATCATTGATGTGAGTGACCAGACACATGATCATTGATGTGAGTCACCAGACACATTATCATTGATGTAAGTCAACAGGACACATGATCATTGATGTGAGTGACCAGACACATGATCATTGATGTGAGTGACCAGACACATGATCATTGATGTGAGTCACCAGACACATGATCATTTATGTGAGTGACCAGACACATGATCATTGATGTGAGTCACCAGACACATGATCATTGATGTGAGTGACCAGACACATGATCATTGATGTGAGTCACCAGACACATTATCATTGATGTGAGTGACCAGACACATGATCATTGATGTGGGTGACCAGACACATTATCATTGATGTGAGTCACCAGACACATGATCATTGATGTGAGTGACCAGACACATGATCATTGATGTGAGTGACCATGATACATGATCATTGATGTGAGTGACCATGATACATGATCATTGATGTGAGTGACCAGACACATGATCATTGATGTGAGTCACTAGACACATTATCATTGATGTGAGTCACTAGACACATTATCATTGATGTGAGTGACCAGACACATGATCATTGATGTGAGTGACCAGACACATGATCATTGATGTGAGTCACCAGACACATGATCATTGATGTGAGTCACCAGACACATGATCATTGATGTGAGTGACCAGACACATGATCATTGATGTGAGTCACCAGACACATGATCATTGATGTGAGTGACCAGACACATGATCATTGATGTGAGTGACCATGATACATTATCATTGATGTGAGTCACCAGACACATGATCATTGATGTGAGTGACCATGATACATGATCATTGATGTGAGTGACCATGATACATGATCATTGATGTGAGTCACCAGACACATGATCATTGATGTGAGTCACCAGACACATGATCATTGATGTGAGTCACTAGACACATGATCATTGATGTGAGTCACCAGACACATGATCATTGATGTGAGTCACCAGACACATGATCATTGATGTGAGTGACCATGATACATGATCATTGATGTGAGTGACCATGATACATGATCATTGATGTGAGTCACCAGACACATGATCATTGACGTGAGTCACCACAGACCAGTTTGATGAGTCACCATAGACACATGGCTAGAAAACAATCGCTGTGGTACAACAGTCAATATGATTCACGACAACACAACTATGAATAGTTAAATGGTCTGCTGGTGTATGGACTGATGACCCATGCATGAGAATATGACGGATGCACACATGAATGTGAGTGACTGACAGAAGGACATCTGGAGACACATGTATCGGTTAAATAGAGACATATGTACTAATGTCATTATCATTATACCTATTATGTCGTTCATTCATTTTACTTTTCATCATTATGTGCCCTGACTAATTTCAAAAAGACCTTTTTTCTAATTGCACATTTTCACCAGTTGTGGTCTTTTTGCCAACTTTGGTGTATAGATAGGCATGCATAAAAGACAGTAGGCTTGAATGGTCAATGGAAGGTTAAGCGAGCTAATGGCCAAATGACTTTGTTCAAGAAGTTGAGATTAAAGTTAAGACTTTTTCAAATAATAATGATAATGACATTAGTACATATGTCTCAATGTCATTATCATTATTATTTGAGCCTACTGTCTTTTATGCATGCCTATCTATACACCAAAGTTGGCAAAAAGACCACAACTGGTGAAAATGTGCAATTAGCAGCCAAAAGGTCTTTTTGAAATTAGTCAGGGCACATAATGATGAAAAGTAAAATGAATGAATGACATGTCAGCATAACTGCAATGACAAACATTGAGTGATATGAAATAGTGAGTGAGTTTGGGGTTAAACGTGACTATAAACAGTATTCCAGTTATATCACGGCGTGTCAGCTTACTGCGGGAACAAAGCTCTAAGTGATGCAGGTCCCAAACACATTACCACTTCGGTGAAATCCACAAGCACGGGTATGGTGCTGACAAACCTCGAAACTTGATCGGGGCAAATGATACAAAATAGACAATGCTTTCAACTCAGAATCACAGCAACTTACAAGAGAATACTGAGATCACCAACATAAGAGGGAAAGACAGGTCACATGAAAAGATGAACACATGGGGCAGTGACAAAGTCTTGTAACCATGGGAACATTACGTTTATCTCTTGATTTGAAACAGGTAAGAAAACAAAACAGCTACAACAGGATCGAGGAAGGCAGGTCCACTCACTCGCTGAGAAAATCCTGAAGCGATATCTCTCCTCCACGCCGACGAACAGGAGCAACATTTTCATCTTCTTCCTCGATTTCATCTTGGCGCCGAAACTGTGCACTGTTAATCAGATGAGTGGTATTAACTCTTAGATGTTGTGCTATCTCGCTATGTCCCTTTTACAGAGTTTTGTTCTGATAGTTTGTTTTCCTTCTGTCATCTCCCCTCCTTCTTTCCACTATGAAGTTAGCACATATAACTGCTGCATTGGGGAACATGACACGCTACTTAAAAGACTCGTTTACAAAATGTTCATCTCCACCAATGATATATATTTTCCCAGTTTCATATGAATTTACCAAATAAATAAGACAAAATGTCAGGACGTTAACAATAACAATCAGGGTTACCATATTAACAAATAATATACGCTTAGATAATGTGTCAGGAAAAATAGACTTATTTATCAAATATCAGTGAGAAAATGAGTTTGGTTTAACGCTGCTTTGAACAGTATTCCAGTTATATCACAGTCGTGTCAGCTTATTGCGGAGGAAAGCCTGAAGTGATGCAGGTCACAGAGATTGACCACTTTGATGAAACCTTCAAGCATGGATAGGTGCTGACAAACCTAGAAACAGAATTGGTGTGAACCGGGATATGAACCCATGGCCATAGGTTTCAGGTGTGCCGAAGGGATGCAACTCTGCATCGCAAACACCAGCACCTAGACAACAGGGCCACCCGTGTCCCCTCATCAAATCTGCAAAGTACATAGTAGACAGGATTTGATTACTATGTATATGACATGCTGTATTAACTTAGTCTATCTATGATCACTCCATGCAAATGTTTGCAGATGAACTGTCATGGTAGTCTTCTGATTATTTGTTTAGTTGCGGTTCAGCCTATACTATTCCTGGCTATCTAATCTATTTGGAGGGGTAAAGCTTGTATAGAAGGGGTCAAAATCTTACTGGGTGGACTATGTATAACGATTCAACAAGCAGAGGAATAAGAAGATGATGAAAGGTCACTGAGGCTGAAAAATAAGGTCCATGAGTAAATATTGTTAAGATAGTTAAATAATGCCATAAAATGTTCTACAACTGAAATACTCATGCAACATGCTGGTGCACAAAATCAAAGAAAGTCCCTTACCATAAAACATGCAATAAACATGCATATTTTCATGCATTACTGCTACAACACAGGGGAAACAGCAAGGCAGGCAGTAGCACATCAAGGGGAGTAACTCTTGCCAGAGTACAATATTATCTCCCTTTTGCCAAACTTACAGTTCTCTAAGCTTTCATAACCAAAGTCACAAAGATTTAAAGAAAGTCTTGAAATAATGTTACTTAATGCCCAGATGAGAAAACAGATTTTCTTATTTTGAAAAAAAAAGTTTGAGCTAGTTTGATGCCAGAAGGTCAAAAAGGTGATTAAAAAAAAATGCAAGTAAAATTTTAAAAATGGATTTAAAAAAAATATGAATCAAGAAATATATTAAACTTGAAATAGCTAGAAGTGCTGTGCAATATGCAAGCAGGTCATTTGCGAGTGTGATATACAGGTGTAAGCAGGACAAGCAGAAACTGAATGATGCCTACGACAAACTCACTCATGATCTTGGAGGAGTTTTTGTATTACAGTATAGGACTGGCCACTGGGTCTGAAATAACACCATTGTGTTTCAACAAACAAAAACAGCAACCTCAAAGTAAAACACAACTGGGGGTAACAAGGCGGGATCTAGCACCAACACCCGTTCAACAGCTGCAGCAGTGACAGCAACAACAACACCAGGCTCCTACGGTGTCCTCCATACACTGACGTCACAACACCACATACAGATGCAACGTCAAGGATGCAGGCTTCACAGATACCGGCAGTTTTCACATATATGCAGGTTTCTCCTATTGTGTGTTTCACATATCTCTATAGGTTTCACATATATGCAGGTTTCTCCAATTGTGTTGCACATTTCGCCATAGTTTTCACATACATCCAGTTTTCACATATATGCAGGTTTCTCCTGTTGTGTGTTTCACATATAATAGTTTTCACATACATGCAGGTTTTTCCTATTGTGTGTTTCACATAACATAAGAGTTTTCACATATATGCAGGTTTCTCCTATTGTGTGTTTCACATATCTCTATAGGTTTCACATATATGCAGGTTTCTCCTATTGTGTGTTTCACATATCTCTATAGGTTTCACATATATGCAGGTTTCTCCTGTTGTGTGTTTCACATATAATAGTGTTCACATACATGCAGGTTTTTCCTATTGTGTGTTTCACATAACATAACAGTTTTCACATATATGCAGGTTTCTCCTATTGTGTGTTTCACATATCTCTATAGGTTTCACATATATGCAGGTTTCTCCTATTGTGTTTCACATATCTCTATAGGTTTCACATATATGCAGGTTTCTCCAATTGTGTTTCACATTTTGCCATAGTTTTCACATATATCCTGTTTTCACATATATGCAGGTTTCTCCTGTTGTGTGTTTCACATATAAAAGTTTTCACATACATTCAGGTTTCTCCAATTGTGTTTCACATTTTGCCATAGTTTTCACATATATCCTGTTTTCAAAAATATGCAGGTTTCTCCTATTGTGCATTTCACATATAATAGTCTTCACATATATGCAGGTTTCTCCTATTGTGTGTTTCACATATCTTTACAGTTTCACATACCTCTGGCAAGTCTTTGCTAATGTTAAAGTTCTGTTTCTGCTAATTATTGTAGGGGGACACAAACAGAGGGTTCAGGGCAATGTCCAGCATGCTAGATAATTGTTATTCTATTATTGTACTTGTTTGATGATATATTTTGTTGTGTTTAACCTTACAGCTTATCTCTTTCACTACAAAAGAATCTTTCAAAAGGAGTGAATGAGTTGGGTTTAACGCCGCTTTTAACAGTATTCCAGTTATATCACGGCGTGTCAGCTTAATGTGGGAGGAAAGCCCGAAGTGATGCAGGTCTCAGACGTTTATCACTTCAGTGAAACCAACGAGCACGGGTATGGTGCTGACAAACCTAGAAACATAATCGGGGCGAACCGGGATTCGAACCCACAATCATAGGTTTCTGGCATGCCCAAGGGACACAACTCTGCACAGTGAATTGCGGCACCTTAGACGACTGGGCCACATGTGCCCTCCTTCCAAAAGGAAGGTAAAAAAAGTGAGATATCAAGACATATTTAAAATGCCACCTTGTATCCATGTCTATAACCCCAATTATCAATCTGAGGACTCCAGCACCAGGTCAAACTTGTCATGTTTTCAACTTTAATTTCCAAATCTATTAGTATCAATATGAGAGTGTCACCATGGTCACATGTATAACAGCTGTGCGTGATTATGCTGGTGCATGGTTTGTGTCTGGTTAATACCAAGTGCTGAGTAGCCAATAACCAACACCATCAGTCTGTAACTGTAAAGATTAAAATCATCTGCCCAGCCACCCGTGCCAACTCAATTCTCAAAGTGATAATGATAATGATAAGAAGTATTAACTAAACTGCCTCTTGACTAAAACCTGTTTGAAGTGTTTCTAGCTAAGAATTAGTGTTCATTATCTGATAGGTCTCTCGAACTAATCAGTAGTTTTGATGAAATGTGAATTTTGAAACAATTCTCTTTCTAATAGCTATGACCACTTTAAACCAAAGTTTGGAAACTACAAACCACAGCTACTGTTTGAGTACATCACAAGGCTTATCACAAACTAGAATTTGGCTTGAATAGGGCTGAAAAAGACACACAGCAAACAAAGGTACTTCATCAGTAGCTGTCAAACTCTAAACACTCAAGCTTGTAGTCTCATACTACAGCATGTAGTGACCTGTCTGTCACTATAACATCATAGTCAGTCAGTCTAATACTACACCATCTAGTGTCTGTGTCATCTCACTGTAGCACTACAGTCAGTCAGTCAGTCAATGTACTATAGCATCTAGTGGCCTGTCTGTCACTATAGCACTACAGCCAGTCAGTCTAACACAAAATCCAGTCAGTCTAACACGAACGTCAGTCAGTCTAACACTACAGCCAGTCAGTCTAACACTACAGCAAGTCAGTCTAACACTACAGCCAGTCAGTCTAACACTACAGCAAGTCAGTCTAACACTACAGCCAGTCAGTCTAACACTACAGCCAGTCAGTCTAACACTACAGCAAGTCAGTCTAACACTAAAGTCAGTCAGTCTAACACTACAGCAAGTCACTGCAGCTAGATGTCACAAACTTGTGGACAGATCAGTCATTTCAATTTCTCCTGAGAGTTGCGCCTGGGATGTAGGACAAACTGACCACTACACTACAGGGGGAGCACCATGCCAAGCCCACTTACTGTTTGCCATCCTTGCCACGCCCATCTCTACGGAGACTCAGCTTTCGGGAATCTGTAACACACAATACACGTGTCAAGTATACTGACTAAATCATTCAGGGCAACTAACCAATGCTGGACCAGAACACGTACTCTTGAGATCTACAGCAGGTACCTGGTTTGGGTCGCGTAATAGGGGGTTGGGTACCCGGGTAGTAAACATGGACAAGCCCCAGCCCTAGTCTCTGCACAGCTTTGGGAAATTAGGGTGCACTTATACTGTGAAGGAAAGATCAGCAGCATCCGACTTGTGGCTGGTGAAAATAATTTGGAAAAGTAATGGTATAGACCAAACATTTCTTTATCAGGATATGCCAAGGTAAACAAAGAAAGAAACCTAATGATTCCCACTCCCAATGCAAATGTGGTCTTGAAGTTCAAACACACAATCACTTCATTCTAGCTATGGAATTTGATATCCCATGGGATTTATCTAGGATTCTAAACAAAGTGCCCCTGGAAGGCAATTTTGGATAAAAAATGTTGTTATTTAGTTCACAACTGGGATCTTTTTAAAGTTTTTGTTATTTTCTTAAATTCAGTGGTATTTTAACATTGTATTTTGAGATGCATTCAATGTACTAATATCAAACTAAGCATTAAAACCTCTCCCCCTTTATTGGTCCCCATATGAGTGAAATACATGCTACTTCTACAAAACCATAAAACTAGTTATAAGTGATTACATGAATTGGGAAATTTATATTAGCGATATGGGAATTCTTAATGACATCTGCTGTAAACTTGGAATTGAATATCGGCCTCTGAACAGACCAAGACACTTGTCTATATTCCTATGCATAATACTGGCAAGTACGTGTCCGTTTAAACTGTGAAGCAAAGATTAGCAGTATTCAACTTGTTTCTTAAAAGTTACAGTATAGATTGAATATTTCTTAAACAGGATATCAATACCGTGTAAAGAATCACTAATACCACTAAAATAGAAATTATCATTACCGCTCCAAATATAAATTTGATGTTCCACCTTCAAGCATGAATTGTGCCTTGATTACTAGAGGGAGGTGAGGTGAAATGGGGTTTAACATCATGTCCAAGATTACTGCACTTATATAGCGAGGTGCATGCACGTGTGTGTTTGTGTGGCTGCTTGTACTAATCCGGACTGATGCCGACTTAAAGTGCAAGCCCACTTAGATACCATGCCGCAGTTTAACATGACTACCCCACTCAGACACAGTATACTGACTCCGAGCCAACCTTGTTTTAGCCCCTTAATGCCGAGCGCCAGACAGGGTAACAACAAGTGCCATCATTTAACGTCATTTGGTATGACGTTGCCGGGGATCTGACCCCAGACCTTCCGCTCTCCGGGCGGACGCTCTACCACTAGACCACCAAGGCGGTCGGATTACTTGAGGGAACAAGTGGTGGTCATTGTCTCACCAGTTGAGTTCATCTCCTGTTTGGCAGCAGCGGGGATTGAGGGAGTTGAGAGAGACTTGGTCATATTGGAATGTGGCACTCCTAAGCTGCTGGTGTACTCTTCTTCACACGAGCACACACCCTGAGTTGCAGCAACTGTGTACGGACGAGACTTAGTGTCGCGCACACCACCGCCCTGGCAACAGAGAAACAACTGCAACTCAACAAATAACATTAGGGGAATAGCAGCTGCATCCGCATTTCTTACAAATGTCAAATATTTTCCAACATCATCCAAAGGAGTAGAACTGTAGGCGAATATTTTTCGGTATGTCTCAGAAAGATAAGTTTGCTTCAAACTAAAGAAATGAGTGAAGACCAAGTAATTTTAATAACATGCCTGAGAGGTCCCATACATATCTGGAATTTATTTGAATGAGAATATAGCAGTCTAAAAATTAAAATCACTTACAGCAAAGGTTTGAGTTTTTTTGCCATCTGTTAACAATGCATTAATTTCCTTCCTCACAAAGCTGTTCTATAGGATCTCTGAAGGAGGCGTATATGTTACGTGTTTTCCATAAGATCTCTGAAGGAGGCGTATATGTTACCTGTTCTCTATAAGGTCTCTGAAGAAGGTGTATATGTTACCTGTTCTCTATTAGATCTCTGAAGGAGGTGTATATGTTACCTGTCTTCTATACAACCTTTGAAGTATATGTTACCTGTTCTCTATAAGGTCTCTGAAGGAGGTGTATATGTTACCTGTTCTCTATTAGATTTCTGAAGGAGGTGTATATGTTACCTGTCTTCTATACAACCTTTGAAGTATATGTTACCTGTTCTCTATAAGGTCTCTGAAGGAGGTGTATATGTTACCTGTTCTCTATAAGGTCTCTGAAGGAGGTGTATATGTTACCTGTTCTCTATAAGGTCTCAGGAGGAGGTGTATATGTTACCTGTTCTCTATTAGATCTCTGAAGGAGGTGTATATGTTACCTGTTCTCTATAAGGTCTCTGAAGGAGGGGTATATGTTACCTGTTGACAATAGGATCTCTGAAGGAGGTGTATATGTTACCTGTTCTCTATAAGGTCTCTGAAGGAGATGTATATGTTACCTGTTGACAATAGGATCTCTGAAGGAGGTGTATATGTTACTTGTTCTCTATAAGGTCTCTGAAGGAGGGGTATATGTTACCTGTTCTCAATAGGATCTCTGAAGAAAGTGTTTATGTTACCTGTTCTCAATAAGATCTCTGAAGGAGGGTGTATATGTTACCTGTTCTCTATAAGGTGAGTGAGTGAGTGAGTGAGTATGGTTTTAAGCCGCTTTTAGCAATATTCCAGCAATATCACGGCGGGGGACACCAGAAATGGGCTTCACAAATTGTGCCCAAGTCGGGAATCGAACCCAGGTCTTCGGCATGATGAGCCAACGCTTTAACCACTAGGCTACCCGACCGCCCCTCTCTATAAGGTCTCAGAAGGAGGTGCATATGTTACCTGTTCTCAATAGGATCTTTGAAGGAGGTGTACATGTTACCTGTTCTCCTTTAGATTTCTGAAGAAGGTGTATATGTTACCTGTCTTCTATACACCTTTGAAGTGGCATAAAGGTTACCTGTTCTCTATAAGGTCTCTGAAGGAGGTGTATATGTTACCTGTTCTCAATAGGATCTCTGAAGGTGTATATGTTACCTGTTCTCAATAGGATCTCTGAAGGTGTATATGTTACCTGTTGACAATGGGATCTTTGAAGGAGGTGTATATGTTACCTGTTGACAATAGGATCTTTGAAGGAGGTGTATATGTTACGTGTTGACAATAGGATCTTTGAAGGGTGTGTATATGTTACCTGTTCTCTATAAGGTCTCTGAAGGAGGCGTATATGTTACCTGTTCTCTATAGGATCTTTGAAGGAGGCGTATATGTTACCTGTTCTCAATAGGATCTCTGAAGGAGGTGTATATGTTACCTGTCCTCTATAGGATCTCTGAAGGTGTATATGTTACCTGTTCTCTATAAGGTTTCAGAAGGAGGTGTATATGTTACCTGTTCTCTATAAGGTCTCAGAAGGAGGTGTATATGTTACCTGTTCTCAATAGGATCTTTAAAGGAGTTGTATATGTTACCTGTTCTCAATAGGATCTCTGAAGGAGGTGTATATGTTACCTGTTCTCAATAGGATCTTTAAAGGAGGTGTATATGTTACCTGTTCTCAATAGAATCTCTGAAGGAGGTGTATATGTTACCTGTTCTCAATAGGATCTCTGAAGGAGGTGTATATGTTACCTGTCCTCTATACACCTTTGAAGTATATGTTACCTGTTCTTGTTGTGTTTCATAAGGGAGATCAGTGAGAGACCGAGCAGAGGGGTTGGCGGTGGTCGGCTCACTCATGGTACGAGTGAGGTAGTCACTGGTATTCGTTTCTTCTTGCACTGAAACATTAAACACACATGTAGAACTCCTGAATGATGCAACTAACACAAGAAACATTAAAAACATATCTACAAACAATTGGGCACTCGGTATAATTTGTCCGCATTATATGTTAGTAGTTTTGAAAGAAAAATGCTGACCTACTATTTCATTTCATAACATTTCATTCATGCCTTCCTCTAAAAGATAAACTGAGATTGGACAAAACTCTTCAAGAGATGTGTATATGTCAGGAAAGGCATTTGCTACGTTAATGACATGGCCACATTGCTATTCAAATCAGCTTACATACAAAGATTCATCAACGCTCAACATCAGCTCACACACAAAGATCACGCTCACCATTTGGACCGGACCCGGTTGAGTTGACTGGCGAAAGGCTCCTATCTTCAGTGTAGACACTGCCATTAGGTTTGTGTTGATGAGCGTCCGGGACGGCGGCAGGGGCGGCAGTCAGACCTCGTATCGACTGACCAGCGTTGGCGGCGTTGTCCCGCGCGTCCTGGTAGTCATCTTCCTCGGATTCTTCGTCTCCTTCCAGACTGTTCAGGCTCATGCTACAAAACAACACAGCTTCTATGTATAAACAAGCACATATGAAACAGCAACAAGAAACACATATGGCTGAGTGAAGTGGATTTTAAGCTGTAAATAGTCTTTCCACATCATGGCAAAAGATACCAAACATTGTTTGATGTGTTCTGCCAATGTCGAGAACCTTCTCTCGTGTGATTTAAGCAAATGTTAAAACCACAAGGCTACCTCACCACCATAAAGAGAAGAAAAAGAAAAAGTAAACCAGGTTTATCTAGTCCAGCGTCTGCTGTAATATTTTACAGTTTGATTTGTCTTTCTGTCTAATGTGGCTAATAAATGACCCATCAATAAAGATGTCAATGGTTAGTGAAACATTTGTGAGCTGAACCAGTGTTTTAATCGGCTACCCAAGAGCTTAGCCAGACTAACAAGAATAATATGAAAAAAATGCCCCTATACATAAACATGAAAAAATCATATTATAATTAATAAATTATCTTCCACAGCAACCTCTTTTGTTCCTACAGATTTGCATATTATCAAACTTTACTGATCATCAAAATGAAAGATAAGAATATGTATTCTTATACCTCAAGTTACAATGAATGCAAGACACGTCTATATTCTGGAGACATGCTCCTATGCTGGTTGGAGGAATAAAGGGTCTGCTGATTTCATAAAGGAGGAATTATGTTTGGGTTTAGCGGTACTAATATTATTGTTGTAGTCATCGTCATGGTGGTGGTGATGGTGGTGATGGTGTTCCAATATTATATACAGCAAGTGTGGCAATATATTTCACGCCAAACATCTGAAGAACAAAAACTTAGAGTGTGAACTGTAACATCAAGACGGCTTGACGTTTGGCACTACTCTGTCATGTACTGTGACATGTTATCCTAACCAAGTCAAAATGCTTCCCGTCTGTAGAGTGAGTGAGTGAGTGAGTGAGTGAGTGAGTGAGTGAGTGAGTGAGTGAGTGAAATTGGTTTAACACTGCTTTGAACAGTATTCAAGTTATATGACAGCCTCCCAACTGTAGAATTTTATACCACAACATATGTAATAGTTGTGTGTACTTTAGAACAAAACATTAAAAAAGGTTGCTTCATTTTCTCTAGGGATGTCAGTTGGAACAAAAAAAGTGTTGTCGCTATCCCTACCAGGGGGCCCATTAGAAGTTTATTTTGTTCATATAGTAGTGTATATCAACTATGAAAAAAAAAAGAGTCCTCTAAAGCCTTTAGAAGAGGTGAGGTGAAATGGGGTTTTATGTCACATTCAAGATTATTGCACTTAAATTGTGACCCTTAAGAAAAGATAGGCACTAGGGTCGCTTTATGGCATTAGAAAAACTGATTAAATGTGAAATTAATACACACAAAAGGCCCCTTCTTTGGAAAAAAATAATTTATGGCACCAATTCTCGAACTCAGTATCTCTTAGATAAGCTAACTCCAGTAGTTTCAAAGAAAACTTGTCCCCATTTCAGACACTATGCTCTCTGTAAAATAACATAGATCAAGGGCCATAACTGTGTATGCTCAAAATCAAAACTATGTTGCAATAGAAGTAACTCTGGAAAAATAAAAATGTTATTTTAATTTTAGAATCAATTTTCGAACTCAGCCTTGACAAGTAGCACTTAGATAAGCATGTAAACTGTCGTTCACGTAACTTCAGTAGCTTCTGAGAAAACCTGTCCCCATTTCACACAGTAGGCACTAAGTTGAAAAGCATGGAGCAAGGGCCATAACTCTATCTCAATGCCTATCTCATCTTAAGGCTTAAAAGGACTCATTTTTATAGTTATATTCACTACTATATGAACAAACAAAATTCTAATGTGCCCCATGGCAGGGGGATAGTGATAACACTGTTTTCTTGTGTCTCAGTGAAGTGGTTCAAGCATATTATGGTAAAAATCATGGCTTGGGTAAACCAAATATATATGCAGGTGCGGATTAAACCTATCTTCACTGATACCTGAATTGTACTTAAAACCTAATGAAAATATCAGGCTCAACCAATGACACATCACTAATCATTTCCATTATAACTAAACAGTTCCCATTTCTTTTGTCATTCTGTCATGTAACATGGAGCCAACCCAAGTGTGTTGTGCACTAAGAGGTATCAAACTTTGATTCCTACCTGTAAATTGTGGAAATTTGAAACCCCAAGCCATCATTTTGTTTGTTATATGATGGCAGTCTGTAAATAATCAATTCAGGACCAGACAATCCAGTGATTGACATTATGAGCATCGATCCACACAATTGGGATACGATGACCAAGTCATCAACCAAGTCAGTGAGTCTGACCCTCCGATCCCGTTAGTTGCCTCTTGCCACAAGCATAGTCGCTTCTTACAGCAAGCATGGGTTGCTGAAGACCTATTCTAACCCGGATCTTCACGGGTCCCATTTCATGAAACCATCCCGATCAAATAATGGTGACATCAACCATACTGATCTAATCAACACGTACAGTCATTATTTTCATTCTTATTAAATGGTCCTGAATTACCCCACCTGGAAATCCTCTGAATTCCCAGTGTCCACAACAAGCACTACTTCCCCATCCATTTATTTAGTAAGAATGTTAAACATGTTTCTCCAGGTGGATCAACACAACACGCCAACATAGCCACAAACTCCAGCATTTACTTGAACAGTAAACTGTTTAGGAAGTACAAATATACAAAGACCAAATTATATTTGTGTCACAATAAAAAACAGGAAATATAAATATTGCTTAGGAAGTTTTTTCTATGAAAATACACAAGACTCCAAAAGTTAAGATTGAGAAATTAAACAACAGAAATTTTCAGAATTTTGGGATTCAAGATGAAGGACAAAAGGAAAGGATAACACAACATGTTCATGAACAGATGAAACGTTCCTGTAATCACTACATTCACGCAATGGGTACATTCAAGTAGGGCTGGGACGATATACCAACTGTGCGATATGTATCACTATACCTTGTTCACGATCCGATACGTATCACAATACAGGATGGCCAAATACCTGGCACACTGATGTTAAGTATGCTGGCAGTGTTATGTATAACGCAACAGATTGAAATATTTACTTTTTCACTACTAATTAGTGTTTGGTGTAACAGCAATTTAAGTAAACATTTAAGGTATGAATCAATATTTTGTACTGAGTGTGCGACTAAGATCAATACTTGTATTGGGAAGAAAAATATCGCGATCCATCGATGCATCGGTGTATCGTCCCACCACTACAGTCAAGTGTCTTGTCCGAGCCATCAGACTAGCCATTAATTAAACATCCTTGTAGATACAACCTTCCTTAATCCTATTATAACACTTGTCACAAATCCTTGGCACTTTTGCAGCCCAATATCAATGTCATGCTTTCAGATTTTAGGGATCGAGAATGAAAATGACTTCTGACCTCCACACTGAAGATGGAGTTGTTTGAGAAAACTGATCACCTGGAAGCATTGATAACTTTTTGTGCACCGGCAACCATCTGATGACATGATTAATACTGACAGACACACTTAAAAAGTCCCCTACACATACCGGGGAGTCAGGGTATTATTTAGTCATGGATAAATGTCACTTTCCACGCTAATTGACAATTAGGAGAGTATGTGTGCAGCCAACCTTCACCCAGGAACAACACGGTGGTAACGGATCTGTGACCAAATAATGACTGGGCATATACTGCCGTTTGGTCAAGTTTTATTCTGTGGATTAATTACTATGGTTACTCGTTCAGGACACTCTCAAACATCCAATTATAACACTGTTACACTCACGATGACATTATCTGACCCAACAGATGCAGGTGTCATTTTCTGTACTATCTGTTTTTCTTGATTTTATCTCAACTGTTGTTCTAGATATTTATGATCTGTTCGTTATTCTGAAACATCTCTATCATGGCTTCTTCATATAGACATACTTAAGTGGAGAATATGACCTTACATTTGACTTATAAATGTGTGAGGATGTTTTTTTTTCAGTTTTTTAAATATTTAAATTAATTGCAATTTATTCCTTTAATCATTAATGCAATGTTATTATTTAGATCAGTTTTTCTCTTCCTAAAACCCCAACATTATAGTTTTTCTTAGATAGCAGATTGACAGTAGGGAATAACTTTTACACTTAATTTCTATCAATCAAATGTCAAGAACATCTGCTATTGTGATCTGAAATATATAGGAAAATCTAAAGGTAAGTATAGTTACATACTAGTACGACTATGTCCCTGAACAATATTATTTTCCCTTCAGCCATGCCCTTACTGTAATTCTATAGCCCAAAATGAAGCAAGTCTAGATTTTTCCACAGGTTCAGGCTGAATCTCCCATCTCAATGGGGCTCCTTTTCAATTCAAATGGAGTTGTTTGTTTCAAACATATTTTCAGAAACTAAACATTAGTATGTTACATACCTGCAATTGTAAGACAAGACTAACTAACTGTTTGTTTGGTTGTTAACGCCACACTCAGCAATATTCCACCTAGCTCTATATTGGCGGTCTGTGAGTAATCAAGTCTGGACCAGACAATCCAGTGATTGACATCATGAGCAAGGATCTAAGCAATCAGGACACGATGACATGAATCAACTAAGTCAGCTAGCCTGACCACCTGATCCCGTTAATCACCCCTTACGACAAGTAAAGTCGCCTCTAATGACATGTATGGGTTGCTAAAGACCAATTCTAACCCCGATCTTCAGGGAGGACCATGTAACAGAGCTATTATACCTAATCAGACCACATAAATACCCTAACAAATGGTCACATATATTCTCCATGCTAGAAGCAAACAGCTGGTTATCTGTACAATTAATGGTTACACTCATCATGGCCTGGGTTATCTATCCTGAGTGAATTAATTTTGTAAGTTTTCAGCCTTGTGGGTTTCTGTTCTCAGACCACCACATAAAATCATTTGTGATGTCCTGAACAATGTAAGACATCATGTATACCGAGCCTCTTCACAAACAACAATACAATGGAATAAGAAGACATTCAGCAGGAAGCTTAGTGCTTAGTGAAAACTAATGAAAATAATTTCAACTATCTGTACCCCTATGATATAAATACAAATTCATTCCACAATTTGTGTAAATTCTGTGCAGATGGTTGACAAACTGGTCAACATTACGTGAGTGAGTGAGTAAGTTGGGTTTAAGGCCGCTTTTAACAGTATTCCAGTTATATCACGGCGTGTCAGCTTAATGTGGGAGGAAAGCCCGAAGTGATGCAGGTCTCAGGCGTTTACCATTTCGGTGAAACCCACGAGCACGGGTATGGTGCTGACAAACCTAGAAACATAATCGGGGCGAACCGGGATTCGAACCCACAATCATAGGTTTCTGGCGTGCCCAAGGGACGCAACTCTGCACAGCAAATCGTGGCGCCTTAGACGACTGGGAACCCGTGGTCAACATTACGAGTTGAGGACATGGCATATATGTAGTCTGAACATTAATAGGTGGCGTTCTGCACTATACTGCTCAAAAAAAGTTAGGGACCACACATACTGAACATATATGAAGCATACAGATACATTTTGTAGCTTAACTACAGTGCATTGTCGACTGTGAACCCTAATCCACTTAGTTGCCCCTTACGAACAGCATAGGTTGCTAATGACCAATTTAACCCAGAATCTTCATGGAGGGGATCATTGGACAATTGTTGTGACCAATATTTTGCTTATCATGGAAATTAGTTGCCTGCTGATTATTTCTATTAGATGTTTCCACCAAGCAGTTATCATACAGATACAGATAAATGAGTTTGATTTTATGTCGCTTTTAGCAATATTCCAGCAATATCAGGGTGGGAGACACCAGAAATGGGCTTCACACATTGTACCCATGTCGGGAATCGAACCCGGGTCTTCGACGTGACGAGCAAACGGTTTAACCTCCAGCCTACCAAACCACCCCGATACAGATACAGATACACTTAGAATTATATTTTGAAAAGAAAAATATACCTTTTTCCTGTCATAGCGAGCATCCTAGCTCGAGTTGTCTCCCTTGGATTTCGGGTTTGGGTTACCACTTCGTTACACCAACTACGACGACGTATTCCCCCTGGACCAGAACCTTCAACATCATCGACGACAGTGAAGTCGGGCTGCACATACTGCCTCATGTAAAGAGGGTCTGGGATGTCTGTTGAGCTGTCTACGGTGACTCCGTTTACGCAGATACGGATGTTGCGATCACCTAGACCGTCAGCGTCAGTGGATGCGGAATGATGACTGGAGAATGCTGAAGGTGATGCCTCGGACGTAAGGTGACTGGATGGGCCCACCTCCTGTGCCAAGTCCAGCATAGACTTGTGATGATCTACAACAATACACGAACAATCATACACAATGTAGGGAAGCAGAACTTGCATAGCACGGGGATGCGTTTCTAACATGGCGGTCAGGCAACAGTCTTGGTATCCACAACATCAAACACTTTCACATCAAGTCTTTCACAGTAGAAATCCACAAACACTTATTATCAAGTCTTCATGTGGTGCAGGAAAATTCAACTAGAAAAGGTATGCACTTCAAACCTGGCACTGAATAAATCTGTTTAAAAGAACTCCATAATTCACAAAAGAGATTAAAGATCTTGTCCCAAAGCATCAGAGATATCCATAGATGAATTCAGTTTCATTTTATCGGGTCAGTTACTTGTCACATTTCACATTTGTTTTAAGTATCATAAAGATACACTGATCACAAACATGATCAACAGACAAGAAGCCCAGAGTCTCCATCAAACACTCTGCCTGGGGACACATGTCAGCTCCATTGTCATATCACACAGGTATACATTACACACAATGTAAATGTTACCATATTGTCTGGTCGCCCTCCACTCGACTGCCGATCAGTGGAAGTTGACATGAACCAATCGTTAGCGAGCCTCATGAGCATCATGTTCATCCTGACTAGGTTGCCATCCTGAGCTTTTGTGTACCGTAATATCCAAGCCGACAAAACCAATGTTATGGAAGTGGGCGGAATGTTTGATTGGCTATGTCAATACACCTTTCCTGATGCCCCTTGAAACATTTAAAAAGTCACTTGCCTATCTTTCTCCAATCAACACCTGATTAATCTTTGACCTTTCACTTCTTTAGGTCCATGATGAATTTAAACACATTTTTTTAAAATCTGAAGCAAATAAAAGAAATTCCAAAGTTGAACTGAAGGACGAAAGGCCTAACTTCTTTATTTGAGAGGACGGAATTGGCAAATCTTCCCACTGTGAGTGGGATGCTGCCAGATTTCACCCTTTGCAGCAACCGGTGGATCAGACAGGTTCAACCTGAGTTAACTGAGGAAGAGCAACATTCAGCAACAATGTAATCCTAGTGAACTGAAAATTGAAACTCTTAAAATGTTTGCATTTGCATGTACTGAGAATTTCGGAAATCTTTGGGGGTTTAGCCTTTGTATAATTATATCACAGTGACCTTTAAAAAGTGGTAGGTTCATATGGACAAAATATTTTCAGTGTCGGAATCAAGTTAATTAGGTCTCATTCTAAACACCAATGGAAGTATTTGTAATGGATTTCTTGAACAGTTGCAAAAGCTTTGATCTGACAATAATTGCCTTTTAGAAGGCTAAGCTGAAATGCTTGATTCCCAAGGCAATTGGACATGCCTTTTTAAAACACTTTTGATTTCACACCCTTTCTAAATCACTTAACAGAATAAAACTACATGTTTTCATCTTTATTATTAGCAAATGATTATCAAATTTTACGCCGATGGCAGGAACTGCCACTGCATACAGTACTGGTCCTGTTTTGCATCAAGAAAACACTTGTCATTCAATCTTTCTCAAAATATAATCACTTTTCACATCACAAATTCAGATATCTTGCACTAAATCTGCACTTCCCATGAAAAGCATTGCCCTCGTTTTCAAACTAATCCACTCCAATTATCTATGAAATTATTTTGGCAATTACTCTTAAATAAGCATGAAAGAGAGAAAGCTGAAGGGCTAATATCATTGCACATGTGTACATTAACAGCCTCCAATATCTGTTTCTGATTAAAAACAATTCTAATTTTTTTGTGTCTCAGCATATTTGGGCCAGCCATTTATTTATCCTGACCACATCCAAGCCTTGCTTCACATGTCATGTATTCCCATCATGACTAACATGGATTGTTGACTGGACACATGAAACTACCATGACAAGTTAATGAGGTACATCACTTCTGGCTGTCCTAACACTCCTAGACGACATGCTGTAATATAAGTGAAATACTGTTGAAATCAGCATTAAACTCACTCACTCAGTCACTGACACCAACCTCATTCATTCATTCATTCATTCATTCATTCATTCATTCATTCATTCATTCACACCCACCTCACTCACTCACTCACCCATCCAACTCAGTCACTGACACCCACCTCATTCACTGACTCACTCACTCACTCACACCCACCTCACTCACTCACTGACACCAACCTCACTCACTCACTCACTCACTCACTCACCCACTCAGTTACAAACAACTTATTTCCTCCAGACACAGATTTCTTCTCCCTTTCAAATTAAGTTGAAACTTGACACTGTCCAAGAATAACATAGCAAGTGACAACGTTCAATTAACTGTTTAGGAAAGAGTGGGCTGTAAAGGCTTCTAATATCAGTTGACTGTAACAATGTCGACTTCATGTGAAAGCATAGCATGGCATCAGTGAACATTATTTCAGCTGTGTCAGCTCAATGTGGGAGAAAAGCCACAGTGACACGAATTTTAGACATTTTATAAGCAGCTTGGTGAAACCTACCAGCACAGGTCTGGTGCTGACAAACCAAGAATCATCATTAGGGCAAATCTGGGATCCAAACCTACTATCACAGGATCCTGACCCAACTAAGGGATGCGACACTGTGTTCTAGATGACTGGGCCACCAGTTCCCTGATATTCAAAGGAAATATGAAGAAACACCCATGTAAAGTTAATGTAATGACCCTTTAAGTGTAACATGACGAGTTTCATCTCCTGTTAAAAAAATAAAAGCATAACCTTGTACACCTCCAAATATATCATAAAAATATGAATCACCATAAAAGTGATGACACCAGGTGTTCGCGAAAAGGTAAGCGTATCCTGCCCTTCCAATGGCACCCATCACAAACACACCCAAAGGCAAGGCAAGTGTTAACCTGAACATCCACAAGTACATACCTGCTTCATCTATGGGGGATAGCGGTGACCCACGACCTTGAATATCAAGTGATGGGCAAGATGAGCTGAAGCGGGCGAGCGTATCCCTTCTTACATCCTGAAACAACAAACAAAACAGTCAATACAGGGCTGTAGGCACCAATCTGGTTATCCAAAGAGTTCAGATCTAATCCCATAGTGGGTGAGACCAAACTGACATAGCCACATCAGTGTTGGCCATATGGGTTGGCATCCTTATACTAGGGCTGGGACGGGTAACTCGGGTACTCAGGTAGGGTGGGTCCTGAGTAGGACCCGGGTACCCACATGACTACCCGGACCCGTGGTTAGTCACGTGACATACTGTTTAATGACATTAACAATAAACCTCAATGGTTACACTACAAGCATAGCTAATGTTCACATTTCTTTCTCACTATGCAGGCATCCGTTCTGACTTTTATATGTTCAAGTAAGGATAAAGCGTCTATCAACTGCAGATTATACATGATCAGATTGTTTTATACATGTATCTAAATAGTTTTTGCCAGGGCTGCGGTAAAACAATTCCCATTCGGACATTTTGTACCCAACACTTGAGACCTATAGCAGGTATCCGGGTAGGGCCGGGTAATAGCGTGGCGGGTACCCAGGTAGTAAATTTGGACTCATCCCAGCCCTACCTTATAACCTGACTACCCATTGGCAGGCTCCATCAGCATGAGATGTTCTTTTTAAAGGCTTTAATCACACAATGTAACTTGAAAGCTTTCTCTCCAAGATGACATGGTAGCTCATACAACATACAAATGTCAGCCATGTTTGCTAAGCCATATGTATGTATCAATCATAATCACTCTCCATGCCAACACAGCCACAACACACAAAGGTCTATTTGATCTTCAGATGCAAACCCTCTACTGCAATGGGACAATACGTCAGAAAATGACATCATAAAAACTGGCAGTATTTTATGATCAAAGTACTTTAAATCATGTTAAATATTTCTTTTTTAATTTGAAGTTTGGCCATGTGCCATGTCAGAGTACAGTCTAGCTCTTTAACTATAAACATGTTTAAATCAGACACAAAACTTCAGTTCATAATCTACATTTCAACCATCATTTATCAGTCTGTAATTTTAGCCTCTAAATGAAACCCATGTCTAGCAAACTCTCTGATGCTCTAGAAAGATCAGCATATTCTAGTCCATATACTAAAATCTACTGTAAATAATACAGGCAAGTGAGACTTCAAAGTATTTGGCACAGACTGTTTATTCCTTGAAATTATTACATTTGAGCTTACCCTGAAATAATATATCTGTCATGTTTCCTCTTAGTTTCCTGAATTCCTTATAGCTGTTCCTTCTTTTTTTCTGATATATTTCTTTTAAATAGACATTTTGATTATTGTGTTGTTAGGAACACAAAAGTATATTACTCAAAAGAAGTAAAAGAACACCAATGTTTTCATATTACTACAGTTAATCTGTCATGGCATGACAGATTAACTATAGTAATACGAAAGAACTGTGTGGCCTTTAACTTCTTTTGAGCAGTATATATCGAGTACTCACTGGGTGCCAAGTAATTAGGTCAGCCAACATAATGACATCCTCTTTCCAGAATCTCCACCAACCTCCTAACCCCCATATAGCATTTCATACAACAGAAACAATCTCTCGTAAACAACCTTGGATACACACATGGCGCCTAACGCTGCCCTTGTTGGAATGCATCACAATTCTCACAAACAAGATTACTGCAGCAATAATGTCTAGGAGCATAGAGCATGCTTATGCATGGAGTACGGCGCCATATAAATGGATTATTATTATTATAGTTCATGGTATTTACAGAACAGTTTCAACAAACCAATATATCCAAACACATATACCTACACATTAACACATGCCTGCTGTATTTGACATAAATAAAGGTCTACCCCAAACTTATTACAAATCTGAAAATGTCATAAACATCTGGGCTGCTACATATAGAATGCTGTATGTGGTTCATGCTGAAAATGCAGGATTGGCAGGATATGGGGGATATTTTCCACAATATCACTGTGTGAGAGCTTGATTATCAACTTGCCGACTCTTCAACGCCCTCCCACCCCACACCCCACACCCCCACACACATAACAGCCTTCTTCTTACAACCTGCTCAGGATCCTCTTCAAATGTTTTCCTCACAACCTCCCTCAAACCCCTCCTTCCAACCTCCCTCACAACCCCTCTCAAATCCCTCCTTCTAACCCCTCCCAACAACTGTCCTCAAACAATCCTGACAACCTTCCTCAAACTCCTCCTGACAACTGCCTACGTTTGCACTAAAGCCACAGTTGACCTTGACCAAGAGAACCAGGTCACTCTGACTTCTACAAAGTTTCAATATACAACTTAGAAATATGTCATCATATACAAAAATTCAAATACACAATCAAGGAAACAAGAACTTGCCGAGAAACAGCTAAAAACTTCATCACATCGCTTACATAACATTTAACACAATAAGTTGTGAAGGATCATGATACCAAAGTCAACAGAACAGATGTTTATATATCATATTTTTCTGGCTGTTCACAAATGAACAATTATATTGGCACCGGCTCATTTAATAATTGAATCTGTTAACACCAGCTGGTTTTGTTGTTATTCGTTAGTCTGTCTTACAGACCCTGATACAAATATATATCAAATACAGCCCATGCAAGTCTAATGTTTTGCAAGTCTAGATTACTGCAGTATCAGGAATGAAGAGAGTCTCTGGGCTCCCTTTCATAATATTTTTATTAAGATAATTGAACAACTGTTTTTTCTGTACGATATGTTCATTTCAGAGACTAGACGTTAGTCTAGTTATTTGTCTGTGACCAGTGGACTGGAGTTCATCTTCCACCAACACAGCAGACTGCAGGGCCTAGAGACTGGTACCTCCAGCACCAGGTCCCCGCCACCCCCTGGTCTGGTCTACTAGCTGGTCCCCTGGGAAACACAAACCCTGGCTCACCACAGACATGCTATGGAAGAGGTACATTTGTTGATGTTTAGACACAAGCTTTGAAGTATGGGACGGAGGGAATCTCTGCACTATTGTGTTACATCTCTCTACCTCCTCATGCGAACACCTGAAATATCATCAACTGATCAGCTCTCTCTTCTCCCTCTCCCAAATCTCTCTCATAGCTATCCGTAGAGCCGTCCCTCTATGCCTGCTTTTCCTTCTTTTCTCTTCCTCACCCTCTCCCTCTTTATCTCTCTCACCCTCTCTTTCAAAGCTCACCAGGAAAGTCCCCTCTTTTTCCTCTTCCTTAACTAAATTCTGTCCACGTCTCTAGAAATCTCTAGGGTATTTTTTATTCCAACATTCTCCTTTTTCCTTAAGCCTCTCTTGATGTTCTCCCTTTACTACCTCTTCCTGTCCATTCCCTCCCTACTGTTTCTTTTCAATGTTTATCTTTTCTTTCATAATCAAAACACAAAACCTTCAACAAATCCATACACAATACACAATATTATAACTAGTCATGTTCATGTTTTGTATATGTACGATATATTCCTCTTCTTCTTCTTCTGGGTACAGCCCCATGCATACATGACCAACTGGGTTACAAGGGGGATGGAGATTGCAAAATGGGTTAAGTATGTACACGAATGTACTCTCTCCTACTTTTAGCCATCTCATCTTTCCCTCATTCATGTCATCTACCCACCTAGTGGAGAAGCCTTGAGGTTAAAGTGTTCAATCTTCGTGGGGAAGCCTTGTGGTTAAAGTGTTCAATCTTCATGGGGAAGCCTTGTGGTTAAAGTGTTCAATCTTCGTGCCGTAAGCCCTGGTTTTCTTCCCCACAGAAATACAATGTGCTAAGCCCATTTCCGGGGTCCCCCACAGTGATATTGGTGGAATATTGCTAAAAGTGTAACACCATACTCACTCACGCATCTACCCACCTATCCTTTACTGCAGAGTGAGTGAGAATGGCTTAATACATCTTTCAGCAAATACCAACAGTACAACAAAGAATGAGCTTCACAAATCATGAACAAGGTAAATGCCATCAAGTGCAAGTTCACTATACACTGTACTATATGGAAGAAGTCCTTTAGATCTGCTCTCTCCATCATGCGGTGTATTATCTAACACAAGGATTAGCATGACATCTTTGTAAGCCCGAGATAATTTAGGTAATGCAAATCATGTCTACTAGGCATCAAGAACAAGCCAAATCACTTCGGGGTTTGAGATAGCAATGATGGAGGCACACTCCAGTATCAAAACCTCCTCCATATATACTAGATATGCTTAGGACAACATGGATCCACAAACTGTTCAACCGATAATATTTTTTTCCAAACTTCAAAACTCCATAAACAATGTAAACAATCTCTCTCTACTTGGAAAATGTCATCATACATTACCTACAAATTAATTTCACGGTTCAACCAATCAAGTATTACATGGCAATATTTTCCCTGTCATTGTGTATCTTTTTTTAGTATATTTATCCAGATTTACAAAATATTTTCCACTAATTAGAACAAGTCAATAATCATGTACTTTTATCTCAACAATCTCTTTTGTGGTGAGAAAATATGTTTAAACACCCCTCTAATCACAGGCCTTAGCTGCTAAATCCCGTAACACCCAGCCTGGCAATACTCCAACAGAGGATTACCTCCCCTAACTCTGCCACGACTTCGATCTGCTTCCTATTTCCTGTTTCGGCTACAGCAGGTGTGCGATATTTGGGCACTTGCCGAAGAATCCCTCTCTAACATTTACCAAGACAATTCTGTGCGAAATAACCTCGAGAGGCCTTTCACCTCAGCGTTGTTGTTCTTTATATGATATTCTTTTTCACAAATCCTACAAATCCAGCTTCTTCCTGCAGCTGCATCTGTATAGGAAATGCATCAACTTAAAACTGCACCAGATAATATGCAAGACTTCTGCCATCATACTTCTTAGTATGACATGAATACACTTTCTGTGGAATTTCACACCTGGAGTCACTGTTACCTCAGGTCATGATAACTTTGTGTGTGTATCAACATCTGGCATCACTTTAGGAAAGGGCACATGTACTTTGTATCTGGAGTCACTGGTAGGGAAGACAGTCTTGTATATCACCACCTGGTGTCACTGTTAGCACATTGCAGGATGACTTGTATATGACCACCTGGTGTCACTGTTTGCACAGGGTAGGATAACCTTGTATATCACCACCTGGTGTCACTGTTAGCACATGGCAGGATGACTTGTATATAACCACCTGGTGTCACTGTTAGCACATGGCAGGATGACTTGTATATAACCAGCTGGTGTCACTGTTAGCACATGGCAGGATGACTTGTATATAACCACCTGGTGTCACTGTTAGCACATGGCAGGATGACTTGTATATAACCACCTGGTGTCACTGTTGGCACAGGGCAGGATGACTTGTATATCACCACCTGGTGTCACTGTTTGCACAGGGCAGGAAGACTTGTATATCACCACCTGGTGTCACTGTTAGCACATGGAGGGATGACTTGTATATCACCACCTGGTGTCTCCATTAGCACAGGGTAGGATGACTTGTATATCACCACCTGGTGTCACTGTTAGCACAGGGCAGGATGACTTGTATATCACCACCTGGTGTCACTGTCAGCACAGTGCGGGATAACTTGTATATCACCACCTGGTGTCACTGTTAGCACATGGAGGGATGACTTGTATATCACCACCTGGTGTCTCCATTAGCACAGGGTAGGATGACTTGTATATCACCACCTGGTGTCACTGTCAGCACAGTGCGGGATAACTTGTATATCACCACCTGGTGTCTCTGTTTGCACAGGGCAGGATGACTTGTATATCACCACTTGTTGACACTGTTGGCACAGGGCAGGATAACCTTGTATATCACCTCAACATCACTGTGAGCACAGGGCAGGATAACCTTGTATATCAATACCTGGTTTAACCATTAAGGAAGGACATGCTCACACAGCATATTGACAGCTGGTAGTAGTAGCAGTGGGTGGCATGCTTCCCCATATAAGAACACTTCTGCAGCAGGGTTGGCTTCCCTTTATACCAACAAGTGGTTTTACTAGATTCTAGTGTCTCATTGTAACTGTTCTAATGTTGCAACATTGGGGTCAGTGCCTGTGGAATGACATGTACCAGGAGCATGCACTCTTGTTAATCAAATCAACTTATCATGATCAGAATCCCATCAGAATTATCTCTTAGCAAGACTTCTTCATCAAACCAGGTTCGTTTATATAAGCCATGTTTGTATTTGAATTAAGACTATGGAATTTCTTATTTAGTCATCATGAAACCTGAATGCATACAGGTTTATCACAAGGGATCAAAAGGATACCCCACAAGAGACCGAAAAGACATCTTCCAAGACATTACAAGATGGAATCACAAAAAATGCCAATAAGACATCTTCAAGACATTACAAGGCCGTTTCAATGCCTTCTGTGACACCTTCAATACTTTATAGTACACATACAAGATATGACACTACAGTATAGGGATAGAACAGTACCATCATATCCTGATAATGTACAACCATCACATCCTGACAATGTACAACCATCACATCCTGATAATGTACAACCATCACATCCTGACAATGTACAACCATCACATCCTGATAATGTACAACCATCATATCCTGACAATGTACAACCATCACATCCTGACAATGTACAACCATTACATCCTGACAATGTACAACCATCACATCCTGATAATGTACAACCATCATATCCTGACAATGTACAACCATCACATCCTGATAATGTACAACCAACACATCCTGACAATGTACAACTAACACATCCTGACAATGTACAACCATCACATCCTGATAATGTACAACAATCACATCCTGAGAATGTACAACCATCACATCCTGATAATGTACAACCATCACATCTTGATAATGTACAACAATCACATCCTGATAATGTACATTCACTTTTGAGGATATGGCTATTTTTGTCAAAGAGCAAGCCCATTTTTCCAGTAACCTAACAAAGAAGATAGTTTCATAATCAGATGAAAATGGTATTTGGCAAGATTAATCTAACATGGTCTTTATTTTTAACTTCATTCTCGATAAAAACTATAATAATTTATCTGTAAACAGACAGCATCTTGGCAACAACACCTATCTGTTCACTGAAGTTATGCTATTTTCTCATGATGTAATGGGACTTCAATGAACATTTACAAACTTCCTATCTTCTTTTGTTATTTCACAAGGCAAAAAATAACATATATCTAGTATTCACAAATCTTGGTATTTCAGAGCCAAGTTTAGAAAGAATATAATCTGACATTTCAGCCTAGATAGGTGACTACATCCCAATATTAAGTAGAAAAAACTTTACACCTCCATGAAAGCACCACAACTGGGACTGTAGCTAGGCCATGTTGATGACAGACAAGTCTCAGACGAGCTCTTCAGTTCCATTAAGCAGGCCACCCTAGTGACAACCAACGTCTCTGACTGGTGGTCTTGCCAGCAATGACCACAGCAAGATATTTGACAAAAACAATAAGGGTTATCATTCCTCCATGCTTATCTCCCCTTAAAGACAAACCAGTACTGGTAAACAAATATCATAACATGACTAACATGTAACTGGCGACTCCCCACCACCACCACCACCACCACCCCACCCCACCCCATCCCAAGTCAAAAAGAAGTCAATGCTCTCCCATGTGGAAAGTATTAATCCCTGAAGGGCAGTGATGGAATAGAGAATTGAGTGTGTGAGCTTAAGTGTCAGCCTAATGTGGAAGGAAAGCCCGAAATGATGCAGGTCTCAGACATTTACCACTTCGGTGAAACCCATGGGTATGGTGCTGACAAACCAAGAAATATAATCGGGCTGAACTGGGATTCGAACCCACAATCATAGGTTTCTGGCGTGCCCAAGGGACGCAACTCTGCCCAGCGAATCGCGGCACCTTAGACGACTGGGCCACCCATGCCCCCGATGAAATGGAGAAGGCTG